CGCTCCATGGCTGCCCACATACTACTTCTACCAAACGCAACGAACACCTAATTCGACGCTTGATATCTTTAAATAATACTAAAAGACAATCATTTTAGTGTCGAATTTGTTGGAGCACCTAGTTGTTTAAGACCACTTCTCTCTACTCCGCCGACCGCGCGACCTATATTTGAGTTCGAATTTCTTCAAAACGGAACCAGCAACTAATTCGGCGCTTGATATCTTTAAATAATATGAAAAGACAAACATTTTAGTAGCCAATTTGTTGGGTTGTCTAGTTGTTTAAGACCACTTCTATCTTGTCCGTCGATCGCGCTATCTATATTTGAGTTCGAATTTCTGCCAAACCGTATGAGCACCTAATTCGCCGCTTGAAATCTTTAAACAATACTAAATTCAAACATTTTAATGCCAAATTTGTTGGAGCACCTAATTGTTTAATACCACTTCTCTCTTGTGCGCCGACCGCGCGACCTATTTTTTAATTCGAATTACTGCTAAACAGAATGAGCACCTAATTCGGCGGTTGAGATATTTTTAAATAATATTAAAAAATATTAAATAATACTAAAAAACAAATATTTTAGTACCAAATTTGTCTGAGCACCTAATTTTTTAAGGTAACTTCTCTCTCTGTGAGCCGACTGTTCAACTGACGCCTAATTTCTGTATATAATTCTATGTATAATATATATTTTCGAAATATTTTGGTGTTTTCTTGGAGCACTTAATTAGCATTTAATTCTGATGCATTTGTTTTGTTTGTTTACGCAATACATATTGATTTTTTTTATTAGGAACTTAATATTAAGTTAGCCCGCCCCCATTAGTTTTTTTTTCTGCCAAACGGTTCAAGCACCTAATTCCGCACTTCAGCACCTAATTAGCACCTAATTATCACCTAATTAGCATTTAATTTTGTTATGTATTAGAATTTATTTATCGCTGGTTGGGGGGGGGGCTAGCTTAATAAGGTTGTGTCGCTGCGTTTGATTTAGCGTCGTTTCTCCAGATAAATACCACGCAATACAGCAATCGCTTTATGTAAAAAGTTTTTGTACGTCAAATTAATGTAACATTGATAACATTAAAATAAATAATCGATTGAAGAAATTGCTATACGAAGTTGCGTATGAGAATTTTGTAATGTGGAAAGGTAAAGTGAAATCTCGATAAAATTCTGAACTTAACGTTGCTTCATAGCTTGTATAATAATAACAATCATATTGTATTACCATAATCTTTATTATTGAGTTGCACTCTTACTGCAAAATAAAAATATACTCTTGACTACATTTATATAAAAAATTTATTATTGTATTATTATTACGTGGAACAACAGAATGATTATTCATTCAGTAAATATTATCATATTTTTAATTTAAAAAAAATATTTTTAAATAAAAAGCATTTATTAATATTAAAAAAATATAGCTAAAAATACATACACATTGTGTGTTCGTTTCATAAATTTTATATGTTATTAGAATGACAGTTTTGCAATTTATAATTATAATCAAAAAATTGTTTGGCATAAATAAAATTAATTTTATGAAATGAATAAAAAAAAATGTTTTCTTAAAATTTCAACGCTATAAAATTTCTTCTATCACACTATAATATCTTTGCCTTCGACTTATGTGCAGTCGTGCAGAGTACAAATTACAACTCATCCTTCAAATGTCTAAATGTATTTCCATGGTCCATTAATTTACGTGTTAAAGAATCCCAGAATATCATTCTCTGCCAGAGAAGACTGTGATCCATTGTAATTTTCTTTGGATTTTCTATGCGCAAGTATTCCGGTGCAGAATTTGTTTTTACGGGCTTCCACTTCAATGGAACCACTTTAGTAACTTTTGGTGTAGGATTTCTAAAAGAATATTTGTCTAGATATTATACGGAAAATTTTTTTTACTCTTTCCTTATTAGAAACGAAATCCATAATTGTGGAAATAAAAATCTAATATAAAAAAGATATAGACTAAGAACTTTAATGAGAAATATTGGATTAAATAGTTAAGCCAATAATTATAAAATGGTTCATCTTACTTTGCACCAATTATTTTAATATTAATATAATTAAATTTCAATATATAATACTTTCAACATTCTTTATGGATTTAATTTATACATTTGTATTTTTTCTTGCATTTGCTATGAGTTAGATATTAACACTTACCCGGAATTCGCAAAATTGTACCAAATATAAGTCATGACATCGATTATTTTATGATCTTCTTCAGACAACGCCGTGTTTGGGAACAATTGTTCACCCACGGGGAACAAATACTGTAAATCATCCGCGTGCGATACTCCGTAATCTCTTACTGGATCGCCAAATATCGTGCTGAACGATACACTTCCTTTATAAGCAAAGTAGTAATAAAATACTGGTGAAGTTTGATTTACAATAAAATCTTGCACAGCTTCGTGAGTACCATGATTAAACCATGAGTCGCTGTACATCTAGAAAATCATATTAATGAATCATTAATAGATTAATTATTAACAAACTTGACTTTTTAAACTATGTAGATATAAACGCAATATAAATACTACTTATTTTTTTATCTCTTAATAGAGCATTGTAATAATATTTCACTTAAAAAATTAAAGTTGCAAAATTTTTACTACAATAATTTAAATAATGACTTGATTATTTAAGATAGTCTTATGATATGTCGATTTTATTCGAATCAAATGTAAAGTCATATATATTCTTTAATACTTCAAATATTAAAATTGATGATTGTATTGTATAATTAATTATTTAAACTTACGTCGACGACTTTGAATCTGGAATCTTCGGTGTAGTCGATAGCATTGTAGCCGAAATAGAAATTGCGAATAGTGGCAGTTATCTCATTTCGTAAATCCTCATTCGTGACATTGTATCTTTCGTCATATAATAAACTCATAGGCACAATTTTGTTAAAATTAGTCTCCAATTCTTTCACATTTTGTTCCCGTCCATAAATACCTGTGAAGCACAAATAAATTTTCATTGACGTACATCTTAATTTATTATAATTCACAGAAAATTATTAAATCTTAAGGATAACACTACAAAATTTGATAATGTATTCAAAAGACGCAATCAGCATGATAAATTAAAAGGCTAATTATTTGATAATAAAAAATTGGATTTATCTTTTATTTAGGAATCATAGATTTTTGATGGGATTTTATAACTATACTTTATCGAGGGACGTTTGAAACTTCCATATTATAAAAATCACCTTATTTTAAGATTCCGAAGGATAATTTTGTTTCAAAAATATTTATCAATTTTGTTTCAGGTGATTTTTATAAAATAGAAGTTCCAAAAGTCCCTCAATAAAATATAATTTTAAAATCCCATCGAAAATTTATGACCCCTAAATAAAAGATAATTCCAGTTTTTATATTATTAAATAATTAGCCTTTTCGAGCATATTGTTCCTACCTGCTACTCTTAAAGCTCCTTCTTCCGAAGTGATTCCTGTCATCCAGGGTACGTCGAGGAGGCGGCCTTCTCGTACAGAAATTAGGGGATCCTCTATCAAAAAGGCACCTGAATGCTCAGGTTCGATTACCGGTCGGAATGGTATCATTGGGCAATAACCAAATTTCTACGATAAGGCAATTAATAATTAAATAAAATTATAAAAAATATATGATCAACATATTGAGAACATGTAATAACACAACTCATTGAAAATAAAAAGGAATGTTTTTATTGAGGGCAACTACAGAAAATAAAGAAGCGTAATAAGATCATCGAAAATGCAAAATGAGACAATGTGTCAAATGTAGGGGAAAGTTGCCGAATGCGTATCACTTAACCTATTTTTTATTATATTTTCCATTTGGCACTGTTTTACATGCAAATGAACATTAGAAATTGTAGCTTGAGGTTTTGGACGCTTATTATTACATGTTTAACTTTCCACCAATAACAAATTAATTTGTTATAAATCTTTTTGTAACATGCTGCAAAAGGTACGATTTAGGCAACCGGTCGCCTAAATCGTACCTATAGATATTTTTTATCGTATTTCCTTTGAAAGTATTGAATTTATGAATGAAAACAGTTAAAAATATAAGATTAATAAAATAAATCATTAACTAATACCTAATAATTAATTAATACCTAATTTTAATAATTTATTGAAGGAAATCAAATATTTTATAATTATTAAATAACAATAAT